TATATGCTTCTACTTATGTGACTCTATATATTCCATATTGAACTTTTTTTAAGGCACAGGTATATGAGAAACAAGTCATTATTTAAAAAGACCATATTAAGTCTAAGAAGAGCTGTTTGCAGGCGATTTAGCAAGCTTCTTCAAGCGGTTGCATTTCATGGGGGATGTCTTCATGATTAAAAGGAGAACTAATGCTATGTAGACTATTTATAGCTTCAATAGTGAATACCTTGAAAGAGTAGCCAGTGAACTGAATAAAAGCAGATTTGTCTGTAAGTACCATTACTAAACTATGCTAAAGCTTCAAAACTAGAAGCTATTGTAGAAAACCTTCAGCCTGATGTTTTAAGGACCAACTAATGCAAAAATTCTGAAAAATCAACGTGTCCTTAGGAAGTATTATCCTGTCTCGGGGGTTTTATCCAGTAAAGGCAAATCACAGGGTGTAATGCCAAGGGAGCTTATAAACTACCCAAGCTCCCTGTTTTCAACCAATGTAGGAATTGTTCTATGTACCAATAGAGCGCCCTCCACCCCCAACAAGCAGTTTGTGGCTGCCAACTGCAAGGGGTCCGCCTTTAGCGCAACCTATTGACAAATGGATCCTTCAACATATTCTGATGGTGTATTACTCGCCACCAACATGGTGTGAGGGATTTTTGTCCGGAAAAGATACCTCATGAGGTGAGTGGGAGGGAGCTCATAAGCTGTCCTAGCCCCTTGTCTTTGACATATGTGGGACAAGGTCCCAAGTACCAACAGCTGATACTAAGTCATGACACGAATTGAACTAATCCTAATTCACTTTCATTGATTCCAGTATTCTTGTATATTCTGGTGCAGGTTCGTTCTCCATGTCTTGGAGACGTTCTCCAGCATGCACGGACAAAAGGGTGTCCTTGGATTTCTGGAATCTCACGAGAACTTTCCTTTTACAGCTCAAGGGATTGTTCCAGACATTGTAATCAATCCCCATGCATTTCCTTCAAGGCAAACCAGCTTCTTGAAGCAGCTTTGGGAAAGGGTATTGCCCTAGGTAGTGGTCAGAAATATGCCACTCCTTTTTCCACTTTATCAGTTGATGATCGAGCAGTTTCATGGGTATGATATCTGAAAGCAGTATCCCTTTCCATAGTTACATCTAATTATGCCAACCAGTTAGGCAGTGATTGTGTTACTATGTTGTATTCAATCATGAATTCTGGTGATTTGTCATTGACTACTATAAATGGTATATGACCTGCAGGCGAGGTTTCTCAAGATGGGGAAATGAGAGAGTTTACAATGGCCGGACGGGTGAAATGGTTCAAAACCTAATTTTCATGGGCCCAACATTCTACCAGCGCCTTATCCATATGGCTGAAGACAAAGTGAAATTCCGTAATACTGGACCAGTCCATCCCCTTACTCGCCAACCTGTGGCTGACAGAAAACGCTTCAGTGGAATTAAATTTGGTGAAATGGAGCGCGACTGTCTGATAGCTCATGGTGCTGCAGCGAATTTGCATGAACGCCTTTTCACACTTAGTGACTCCTCCCAGATGCACATATGTGGGAAGTGCAAGAATATGGTAAATGTAATCCAGAGGTCCGTGCAAGGTGGTAAAGTAAGGGGCCCGTATTGCCGCTTCTGTGAATCAGTTGAAGACATAGTGAAGGTTGATGTGCCATATGGTGCAAAGTTATTATGCCAGGAGCTCTTCAGCATGGGCATATCTCTGAAGTTTGACACTGAAATTTGCTAGTGTCTAGGTCTCATCTCAAGGTTATACTTATCATGCTGACATTTTGCTACAGCTGTTGATCACAAACAATGTTATATGTAAATATCTCTAGTGTTGATGGCAAAAAGAGATGGTCTGCTTGTATCGAACCTTGTTGGTTATCAGGTCAAAAAAGTTGTTTATCAATTGGACATTCTCTCTCTCTCATTGAATAATTAATGTAAATTTTAGTTGAACAGTTTGATGGGAAAGTATTGGCAGTAGAGGACCATATGCTTGCTTTATTATGGAATTAATTTTCAGTGCTAAAAGTTAATAAGAAGTGATAGAAGTAAGAAGTATGCTATGATCATGATCAATGCCATGCTTGCCCAAGAAAAGAAATATTTTAACATATCACTTGGCTTGTTTGGTTTTAGATTAAGATTGTTTCTAATTAACTGATTAGTAATACTTACTGGATTTTAGGTGAAATAATCCAAACCAGACAACAATGGATACATGCATAGCTTGTTTGGATTGTTGTTACTTATTGTATTGTTTCGTATTGTTACTTTAGATACGTTTATTTTGATTGTTACTCAAATTTTGTTGTATCGTATCGTTAAATCCGTCGCTACTTAACGACGAAAAGTGCCACTTTATGTAACGACCGATTTGGTGTGGTCGCGTCGTTATAATCCTTTATCATAACTTTTTATATAATTATCACGACCCAAAATCTCACCCGTCGTGATGGCGCATATCTCAATACTAGGTAAGCCGGCAATATCAATAAACCACATATCTTTTAAATTTAAAAACATAATGATTTAATTTAGTGGAAGAAATCTCACAAGTATAAATATAAATACTCCCAAAACCCGGTGTCACTGAGTACATGGGCATCTAATATGAATATAAGTCTGAAAAATATGGTCCATAATAGTCTGAGACCAGATACAGTAAATAAGGAGATAGGAAAGGAGAGGCAAGGTCTGTGAAACACGGCAGCTATCTCTGAATCTCCGAAAAATTAATTGTGCGAAAGAATCAACACTCGTTATGTCCGGAAACACATGGATCTGCACACGAAGTGCAGGGTGTAGTATGAGTACAACCAACTCAGCAAGTAACAATAATAAATAGGGAACTGAAGATAATGACGAGCTACACAGTTATAGTTCACTTTCAATAATTCCAGCAAAGAATAGACATGCTTTCAAATCCAGCAGTTTAAGTCAAATCAGTTTTATACAGTTCAAGTTCATGTAATCCGGATATAAAATCTTTCACAGTATTTTACAACAATGACATATAGCAACTAAGTGCAACACCAAATGAAAAGCAAGTACAGCCTCTCAGGGCAACAGTCACTCAACTCGTCACAACAGCTCAACCACTCGGCTCTCAGCCCTCAGCACTCACACTCAATGGGTACCCGCGCTTACTGGGGTATACAGACTCCGGAGGAGCTCCTACAGCCCAAGCGCTATAATTCGCACGGACAACTCACGTGCTGCACGGACAACTCACGTGTTATAGTATCAATATCTGGATCTGCACGAACAACTCACGTACTGCACGGACAACTCACGTCGTATAGTATAATATCTGGATCTACACGGATAACTCACATGTTGCACGGACAACTCATGTGCTATAGTATAATATTTCACAATGAGGTCCTCGGCCTCGCTCAGTCATAAATCTCTCTACTCTCTCGGGCTCTCAACAATCATGAAATCAGCCAAAACAACAATGATATGATGCATCAATAATGAACAATAGAGACTGAGATAAAATAATCAAGTAAACTGTGACCGAGTACAAAACAACAATTAAGCAGATAGTTCAACATGTACACGACCTCTGTGGGTCCCAACAGTACCAACATATAGCCTAAACATGATTTCTAATATGACTTACAGTCAAATTTCCACAACACATAGAGAGCACATAGCTAACAACAAGTTATTCAACTTTACAGTTTCCACAGGACAGACCAAGTCATAATCCCCTCGGTGCACGCCCACACGCCCGTCACCAAGCATGTGTGTCACCTCCAAAATAATCACATGATACAAAGTCCGGGGTTTCATACCCTCAAGACCAGATTTATAACTGTTACTTACCTCAACCTGTGTAATTTCCTATTCCGCTATGCTTTTTCCTCGTGAATTGTCTTTCAAACGCCTCGAATCTAGCCATAGATAATTCGATTCAGTCAATAAAAATTGTAGGAATTAATTCCATACGAAAATATAATTTTTCCATAAAAATCTGAAATTTCATCCAAAAATCGCATGTGAGGCCCACATCTCAGAACCCGACAACCATTACAAAATATGAATACCCATCCAACCACGAGTCCAACCATATAAATTTCACCAAATTCCGACATCAACTTGACTCTCAAATCTTCAATTAAAGTCTTCGTAGAAATCTCCAAATGATGAACGGTTTGATGCGTTTGAAACTAGACTTAAAGGGCTTTAATTGGATAGGTTATACACCATACAACTCTTCAGATCTTGAGAGTTATGCTCGTTTGAAGTTAGATCTTATGCAAACTCACTTGAAACTTTATCCCATCATAAAATTTTCAACTTGACTTAGCCTTAGGGCTCTTCTTAGACCCTAAACCATTTTTAATGCACCTCATAAATATATTATCATGATCAATTGATATCATTCAAATTGCCAGTCTTTTTCATACCCGAATTGATATAATTAGCACCTGCTGATCTTCTTATTGGTCTTAAAACACTTAGAATTATTTTCGGGGTGTTACAATAATAATTTTACTCCGTACCCTAATTTTTCTTTATAATACTGTAAGTTTATTCTTCATATTGCTGGTATATGACATCATGAAACAACGGCAACTGATACAATTTATCCAAATATTATATTCATCAAACGATACAGTGCAATATAATACAATACAATACAATACAATACATTATGAAATGATATGTAACAACCATCCAAACAAGTTGTTATTTTCACCTACCAAGTGGTATATTACTAGAGGTAGGGCTGTTCAAAACCGGAACGAAACCATTAATCGAACCGGTGACTTATTGGCTTATTGATATCGGATTATCGGGGTAATAAATGGTGAATGGATTGAGATTATATAATTAACAGCTTAACGATTTGGGGGCGGATTACTCAATTTTCTTATCGGGTAAACCGTTTAACATGTTAAGAATTTTTATATTTACACTTTTACCCCTATGTATATAAAGTACTATTGAAACCCTAAATAGCTAAATCCCTAATTTTTATTTTCTAATTTTCAATTGTCTGCAGCCACCAGAGGCAGAGAAGTCGTCAGTCTCGTCTCTCTCTTGAACTGAGAACTGAGAAGTCGAAAAATCAAAATTTCAATGATTAATACGTGTATGTCTGTATGAGTAGTCTTGATGGTATTAAAAATCTGGTTAATACGTGTATGACAATATGAGTAATCTTGAAGACACTTCAATTAAAAATACCGTTTGGTTAGATCTTAGATGGTATTAAAAATTTGGTATTGATTTGAAACTGTTTGGTATTGATTGAATGAGTGTTCAAAAAATTTCTATTTGGTTTAGACGATAAGTCGTCCGATAATCGCCTGATACTTATTAATCTGATACTAATTCGCCTATTGTCTTATTGGATGACTAGCGGATTACTACATTTATAATCCGATAACCGTTAAACCGAACTATTAAGCATAATAATCTACTCGATCCGCCCGATAAGCACCCCTAACTAGAGGGATGGGAAAGCTTGTAATGATTAATTAACCACGTATATTAGGTAACTATTATTGCTTGAGAGTTAGAGAGACATTATTACTTGCGATAATATGGTTTATACAAAAGATATGCTTAATATTTCTTCAAAATACTTGTGGATATTCAAATTCACAAATCTTTCACAACCTTGACATTTTCAGGTAATTTCTATGCCACTTAATAAAGCGTATATGGAAAATTTAAAAGGTACTAATTATTCAAAAATGACTGGACCTAGTATTTTAGCGTTAGTTTCGAAATTTCACTTTCACAATTCTAAAGATACACATCTATTTGAGAATATTCAATCATAAAATTTCTTTAAAAACAAAAAATCAGACCGATTCTTCTGCAGTCATGTCTAGTAAAATATCATGTTATAATCAACAGATTTTTTAACAAAATAGATTGGACAAATTTGTTGCCATGAAGGAAGTAAAAATTGAATTTACAAGTATTTTATTGGAAAATCTTTGCATTTTGTACCTTTGCCCAATAAATTAGATTAGCGGCCCCTCGAGCTTCACTTCGACGTGGCAATTTCAAAATTTGAAAAAACCCCGCCAGTATAAAAACCCCAAATTCAACTTGGCAGCAGTCATTCGCATTGCAGAGAGAAACTTCGAGAAGAGATGAAGAAAAGATCGAGATCGACGAGGAAGTCATCGGCGGCGGATTTTCAGTCAACTCCGCGGGCTACCGCGGCGGCAAGTCCTATCCAGTCGATGAGTGAGTCTCCGAAGCCATTCGAGTTCAATTTCAATATGTTCAACGCTACGCCAACATCGTCATCATCATCGAAGAAGAAGACTAACGGAAAGACGAATTTCAATATTTCAAGTCTAGAGCAGGTGAAGCCTGCCGGTGGTTCCCCTGTGTCGGTCGAAAATCTGAAGACTATTATGGATCTGAAGGAATTTGCATCATCTGGATTGGACTTTGTTAAGCGCCAGGTTGAGCGATCGCATATGGAGATTCTTAAGGACCTCGAGGCTTCTCAGTCTCGCCTTCAGAAACGTCTCAAGGTCTCTCTCTCTCTCTCTCTCTCT